GGTTCCTGAAACCACGCCTTCTTTCTTTGCGTGCACATTTGGGCCGCATTATGCTAATATTGCCACATAGTGAGGTAGATATGTGGGGGCGTGTTAGAACGAGCCGTTTTAGGGGGGCGTGGCAGAGTCTTAACTTTGATAAAGAATATCTCTTTGGTTTTGAGACTTTAGTCTTTGCAACTTCAGGGATCTTATCTATGCACAATCAGCTTGTAACACTCCAAAGAGAAAGGAAAACTTGAAATTGCATCATATGACCCCTTTAAAATATTACATTTTTTATTAAGTGAAAATGAATATGCAGCATTATAGTAAATTCATTACCTTACCATCATATAATGTCTGCCACAGTAGCTATAAGCCCTGACAGATGTGTTTTGGTTTAACTGTAGTTGGTGTGGTTTCTCTTCAGTTGTCCTTGCTTTCTTATGAAGATGGAGTTTTGGATCCCAGCTCTATCATTCCTCTGATATATGGAGGGACAGAGGGCTTTAAGGGGAATGCAAGAGTCTCCCTGCCAGGAATGACAGCCTGTATAGACTGCACACTGGAGCTTTACCCACCACAAGTACTGTAGTCTCACCCTCATATGCTGTTAATTCCATTCATCACTGTAAATGAAGGGTTTGCTGTGACCATACAATTATACATCACTCGTAGTGCTGAGATGAAGTGACTGTCTGCTTTTGTCTGTGTTCTCTTCAGATCACTTTCCCAATGTGCATTATTGCCTCAATGCCACGGCTACCAGAGCACTGCATAGAGTATGTGAGAGTGCTGCAGTGGTTCAAAGACAAACCCTTTGGAGGTGTGTAAGCTATATATATATACATTTGTTTTATAAGAGTTTATATGACCCTGACATTTTTGACGGTGAATTGAATGGCTCTACATTGCCGTGTGATTGTTGTGTGTCTGCAGATGCTGTTGGTCTGGATGGTGATAACCCAGAGCACGTTCAGTGGGTGTTCCAGGAGCCTTTAAAGAGAGCAGCTGAGTTTAATATCACTGGTGACACCTACAGACTCACTCAAGGTAAAGCCAGCTCACTGATATAGCTGAGAAACTTCAAGAGTGCTTTCTTATAGACTGTAATTCTAAGATGTTCATGCTTTTCTTTCAGGTGTGGTTAAACGAATCATCCCTGCTGTTGCATCCACAAATGCAGTCATCGCTGGTATGGATTGAAGCTGAGAGGAAACAACTATTTTCTTCCTTTAGTTTTTTTTTTAATTCTTAATTTATGTAGTTGAGTTTTAATCCCCCCCCACCATTTTCAGCTGCTTGCGCCACAGAAGTTTTTAAAATTGCTACAAGGTGAATCATCTATACGTTTTGATCCCATCTCTGTCATTGTTTTGACATTTCAAGTTTGTTTCATGGCCAGTAAAAGAAAAAAAAAACATTTTGTATTTAGATCTTATAAACCAAGCCACATTTCTCAAACATACAACCATTTCTAAAATGTAAAATTTGCAAAATGTGTATTTAAAACATCTTTTACTAGTCACCTAATCTGGTCCTTAATTTATGTGTGTCTGTTTTCTTTCAGTGCATATATCCCATTGAATAACTACCTGGTTTTTAATGATGTGGCTGGGTTGTATACTTATACGTTTGAAGCAGAGCGAAAGGTAATGATGACATTTTCAATCTTTTATCTGTTAGTTACAAACTTTCATTTAATGTCTCTTTTCAAAGACTGAGCTTTTTGAAAGTAAAAGATGTGAAATGTTCACAGTTGTTGTGTCATTGCCTGTTATGATTGACAGGACAACTGTTCAGCATGTAGTCAGGTTCCTCAAAAACTACAGTTTCCACCGTCTGCTAAACTGCAAGAGGTGCTGGAGTATCTGACTGAGAATGCTTCTCTGTAAGTACACGATTCCCATCAACTCTCTCTCCCTGCAAAGGATTTATAAATACTGATCTACTTGAATTTAAAATGTTTTTTTTTAGACAAATGAAGTCCCCGGCTATCACTGCAACACTTGAAGGCATAAATAAAACACTCTACCTGCAGGTGAGACAGTATCAATATGTTAAGATTCTGAATATAATGATGTTTATTATATTTCTGTACTGCTTAAATCTTTAGGTTTTATTTGTGTTCTTCAGACCGTTGCCTCAATTGAAGAAAGAACTAGACCTAATCTTTGCAAAACTTTGAAAGGTGAGATCTTTTCAAGCCATGAGAACCACAAAAGCACAATTGAAATTGAATTCCCAAATTGTCAGAAGGTTGCCAGCATTATCATTTTATTCACCATGTCCGTGTTTCACCATGATTTGTGTGTATGTGTGTTGAAGAGCTGGGATTGGCTGATAGACAGGAGTTAGCTGTTGCTGATGTCACCACGCCTCAGACTGTCTTCTTCAAGCTCAACTTCACGTCAGAAACATGCAGCATTAAACATGTACAAAATTAATTTAATGGCAGAGGTTCCTCAAATTCACCCGCAACAAGTTTATTTGCATCATGTACCTAAATAACTCCCTTCATGTGTAGAGTCTGTATGTGCTTTGTACTTCAAACTGAAATATCATGTATTGTTTTCTCATTCATTTGTAACTCATAATTTATGAGGAATGTTGTCATTTTATTAACCAACAATCCAGACAATTTTAGGATTATTATGCAAGGATGATGAGACCTGTACCACAAAGCGAGTTTAATCAGGTAAGATTCAGTACCACAAAGGTAGATTGGTGTTCACTGGGATAGTAGTAAACACTGCACAATTAACTTACTCCAGTGCAAGTTATGTTCTCAGTCACAGGTCACAAACATGTATTTGACCAATCAGCATGTCTTAGACGTGCAGTGAAGTCACTCATCCTGTATCTCTCACTCCAAATTAAAGCACTTTCATTTGAGCTCTAATAATGATCATATTATTCATCGTGATCTCGTGTAAGTGTTTATATTCATGTTTTTTATAACGAACATTGATGAAACCAATCCTATATTGAATTTCTTTAAATAATTTTGTGGGACAGGCCTCTGGTAATCCTGTGTCAGTTGCAGTTTTTGTTTAGTAGGTAGCACTTTACAGTAAGGTCTCGGTTAACATTAGTGTAAAGTGTTACCATTGTAGTTTTATTTCTGTTGTTTGCCTTTGTGTCTTGTAAAATGTGTTTTAAGTTAATGTATGTACATATTGTTTTTGCAGATGTTTGTGAAAGAATTTGACCTATAATAAATTATTTGCTGAAGTTGTTTAACATTTATTGGCAAATGTATATTTTAGTTGAAATATGAGGAAACTGCGTTATGTAGCTGTATTCACTCTGCTGAAAGTGATTTTTATTTGTTTGCATTAATTGCTTTAATTTTATTTATATTTCAGTGTCTTAAATGTTAATGTATGCACAATTAGTAATGGTAATCAAACACAACTGGACCGTAATAAGAATGTTCTACATCAGTAGAGCGCAATTATGACGTGAGGAGTGCAGCAGGTACATATGAACATTCTTTTCTAGAATTCTCTGTTGGGAGATTTGGAGATTGTTGCGGTTGGTGTTTTTTGTGCGTTTGGCGAGTTTCTACAGCGACTGAATTTTTCAGCTATTCATTTTCGGGTTTTGACTTGTTTTCGGACTTTGACCATCGGCTTTGGATTCGCTTCGTATTTTGACTTCCGTTTTTGACGCGAGATTTTGATTTGGTTTGGATTCCCGGTTTGACCTTTTTCTTTTTTTTTGACTCGCGGCTTCGGACAATCGTCGGATTGGTTGACAACTCGGCGACTGAGAAAAACCCCGATCCTTTCATGGAAATGGGAGCGGTTAGCGTTTTATCAGTGTGTGTAAGTATGCGATATGCACACGGCAGATTACTAACAATTCACAAATAATGACTGTCCAGTGAAGAGCTTCATAAAGTTTCCGTTTCCATCATAAAGTTGCTTTCTCATGCATGGTGTGCTGTGCAGTATAATTCCCAGTAAACCTTCCTTTTTTTCTACTGAACTTTTGTCTTGTGTAGGTGGAAACACCAAGAGCTGTGTTCGGTGTTCCCCTCATCAGCCTGAGGAAGAGTGGACAGATGAGGCAGGGTCTTCCTCTGGTGCTCACACACATAGTGGAGTTTGTGGAGAAGCATGGTGAGTGTCGTGTGTGACAGTGTTTCTCAGTGTTTGTCAATTGTATGCAGAGATTGTGTGTATTTGTAAACTCTGTGTTTGTGTTTAGGTCTCGGTAAGAATGGCCTGTTCAGAGCCAGCGGGTCAGTGAAACGCTGCCGGGAACTGAGGATAAGTTTTGATCAAGGAGGATTTCCAGAGTTTGACAGTGGGGCTATTCTTACTCCGGCCTCCTTATTGAAAGTTTTCCTCAGGGAATTGCCTGGTGGACTTATTCCAGAGCCACACAGGACACAACTGCTGAATGTGTTCAAAGGTAAGTGAAGTTGAGGTGGTGATGAGAGCACATTTTAAGTACTTGCTGCACAACAAAACAGATTTATCAAATTTGACTGAATATTCTTGAATTCTTTATTTTATCCTGCAGATTCAAAAGAGGGAGAACTGAATCAGGCTGTGAGGACGATCCTGAACAGTCTCCCAGAGGAACATTTTAATGTTCTCTGCTACCTAATGTTCTTCCTGTCCCGTGTGGCTGCTGAGAGTCATCTAAATCTTATGACATCTGGGAACTTGTCAATAGTTTTTGGACCCAGCATCTTTCAGTAAGTGTTTTCAGCGTGTGTATTCAGCTGATAGTCCGTTCTTCTGAACACATTACTACATAACTAAAGGTCTGAGTCGTCTAGAATTACATGCACAAGTTTTCAGAGTCTTATGAGACGCAGAGACCTGCAGTCTGATGGAGCTGTTAATCATAAATTGAAGATGGGTGTGTGGTGTATTTAGTAAGGTGACACATTTGTTATCTGTGTGTACAGCGTTCCTCTCAGCCCCACCATGGTTGAGGAACAGGGGCAGTGTAACGCTTTGACTGAGCACCTGCTGGACAACCTGATCCACCTTCTGCCAAACATGTACCCTCATGCACCCACCAGCATCACAGCAGTGAGTTTATACGGCGTTATAAGTTTATGTTTCAAATTATGGTCACATCTTTGTGTGATTGGCTTTATGAATTAAATAAGAATGTTGTTAAACTGTAAATAATAATAGATAATTCTTTAGTTTTGTATATATATGAGAGATTGAAAATGTTTAGAAATATGTTTGTGTGTTTTAGGAGGAAAGGGACTGGGCTAATGAAGAGTGTATCCAACAGCTGCCACTAACAAAAATCAGGTACATTTGCTAAAAGCACACACACTTGTGCAGGTACACAGGATGCTGGTCATTACAGGTTTATTATAATTACTTTATTGTAGAGTGCTTGTCAGTCCACATTCATGCTTGTTTTATGTATGTATGTTCCAGATCAAAGCTGCCTAAAATTGGACGACTTGGACGATTGAGAAAACGATTAAGAGGTTTTTGGAGAAAGTTGTGCTCATGCACTTGCAGGTACATAGTATGATCACACTAGACAACATTTTTATGTTTGGTGATGAAAAAGAGAGAGGAAGAGACTGACCTGGTTGTCCTGCGCATGCGCTCATATGAAGTTTAGAAATAAAGTTTTACTATGAATAAGATTAGATGAGAGTCAAGATTAAAGTTTTATTGGTCCTGAATGTGTTTAGTGAACAAACTTTACATATATATTTTTTATTCCTTTGCCTCTTAGCAACGACACAGAGAGTGGAGAGGCCTCTGCCAGAGTGGAGACGCAGACATAGGAGAGTAGAAGACACTATGGCTTGTGAGGATTTCCACAAAACACTGGGGCCAGTGAGGTTCACTGCCAGGCAGTAGGGTCGGTGAGGATCACCAGAAGACACTGGGGTCAGTGAGGGTCACCAGAAGACACTGGGGTCAGTGAGGGTCACCAGAAGACACAGTGAGGGTCACCAGAAGACAGTGGGGTCGGTGAGGGTCACCGGAAGACACTGGGGTCGGTGAGGATCACCAGAAGACACTGGGGTCAGTGGGGGTCACCACAAGACAATGGGGCCAGTGAGGGTCATCGGAAGACAATGGGGCCGGTGAGGGTCACTGGAAGACACTGGGGTCGGTGAGGGTCACCACAAGACAATGGGGCCAGTGAGGGTCACCAGAAGACACTGGGGCCAAATGAGGGTTACCGCAAAACACCGATGAGGGTTACCGATGAGGGTCACTGCAAGATAAAAGGGCTGGTGAGGGTCACTAGATAACACTGATAAGGGTCAACCGGAAGGCAGTGGGGTCAGTGAGGGTCACCACAAGACAATGGGTTTGGTGAAGGTCACCACAAAAAACTTTGTGGTGACAAAGTTTTGGGTCGGTGAGGGTCACCGCAAGGCACTGGGCTCAGTGAGGGTCAACACAAAACACTGGGGCTGGCGAGGGTCACCGCAAGACATTGGGGCCAAGTGAGGGTCACTGCAAAACACTGGGGCTGGCGAGGGTCACCGCAAGTCATTGGGGCCAAGTGAGGGTCACCGTAAAACATTGGGGCCGGTGAGGGTCACTGCAAAACACTGGGGCCGGTGAGGGCCATTGCAAGACATTGGGGCCAAGTAAGGGTCATCTCAAAACAGTGGGGCTGGCGAGGGTCACTGCAAAACACTGGGGTTGGTGAGGGTCACTGTAAGACACTGAGGCAGGTGAGGGTCACCTGGAAGACAGTAGGTCCAGTGAGCGTTACTAAAAGATAATGGGGCCAAGTGAGGGTCACTGCAAGACAATGTTTCTGGCGAGGGTCATGGCAAGTTTGTGGGGTTGGTGAGGGTCACCCGGAAGACATTGAGGCCAGTGAGGGTCACCACAAGACACTGGGGCAGGCAAGGGTCACCCCAAGACATTTGGGCCAAGTAAGGGTCTCCACAAAACAGCAGAGCTAGTGAGGGTCACTGCAAGAGAATGTGGCCGGTGAGAGTCACTGCAAGACAATGGGGCCGGTGGTGAGGGTCACTCGGATGACACTGGGGTCGTTGAGGTTCACCGCAAAACACTGGGATCAGTGAGGGTCACTGAAATGCACTGGAGATGGTGAGAGATGATGGCAGGTTTGATTATGAAGACACAGGCATGACAGATGCTGATCTTGCTGACACAATTAAAAACTTCAATCAGTTGACTCTCTTTTTTTTCTTGATTAAGTCTGTACAAAGTCTTTAGTTTTTGGTTGTCCAGGCAAGTTGAATTTACAAAATGTCAAATGTAGCAAAAGCCAAGATTAACCACTTAAAATTTCAGCTGTTTACAAATTTATGTATACCAAAGTAAACACAGGTATTTTTATTATTTAATATTTATGATTATTACAAAACACGCATATTATAAATTTTATGAATATCTAAAATGTCCCTTTAATTGGACTTAAGTTAAATCACATGTATTAGTGTTGTTATCAAATACTGTGGAAATGTTAGTATAGAATAAACAGTTTCTTCCTGAAACTGTCCTGAGCTCGCGCTATGAAAGAAATATCCCTGTCTACCGCGTAACTAACACAAGTAATCGCCTTTAGAGTAGTAATAGAGAAGATCTGAATGTGAACAGACGGTCTCTTGATTAAGCGTCTTTCTGACTTTGCTAACCCAGTTTTAAATTAATACATGAAGAGGAGGGACACTCGTTTTCCTGAAGAAATACAGGCAAGGCAACTCTAAACTTACATTTTTAAAAGGAGCAGGTCGAAATATTTGTATTTTCTATTCGTTTACAAAATTATCCTCAAATACTGTATGTGTACATGAAAATTATGAGTAACGTAAACGTGGCATGACTGGGGTTTTTTTTTTTGTCCGCGACAATTTACAAGTTATTTGTGTAGTAGCCTAATAGCAAATAAAGCTGCGCAAATGTCGCATTAGTTCATTAAGGATCTTGTTTCATCTTTTGCATTTTTCGTCATATACTATAAAAAAAGTGAAGAGAAATAGTCCTCGAAAACAACACTCGTCTGAAAAGGGATCGGATTGACACGAGTCAGCGAAGCTATTGTCTCAATTTATCACAATTTTCGTCTGTTTAGAAGTCAGGAAGTGTCTGTAAAGGAGTAGCCTATACCAGTGATTTAAATAACAGATATTAGGCCTACGTTGTTTTTCAGTATTGGTTTGCATTCGTTAATAAGCATGTAGCCTTTCTCCCTGAACCTCTGTGATGTTTTTACCTTAATTTTGCAAAGCCTCAACGAATAGATTGCAAGCCTATTACTTTTAATTTTTTACTCTTCAGGGTGAACAACGGGGGGATTTAAAACGGAAAAACTGAATAAAAAAAGTGAAAGAAAAGAGTTTCAACCTTGAGTAGTCATGCATCTCGGCTTCATTCTAATTAACATCATGTTTTGGTCTAATATATATATATTTTTTTGTTTGTTTGTTATTGTTTAGGCTACATTTAACGTCCTGTCAGTTTTAGGCTATAGTCATGATGAGCTGGTAAGCAAGTGGATCTAGATAGCTTTGAAAATGTGTGAATATCATGAACATTAAAAATGTTATCCTGACAACATTTTTGTTGTTATCTTTCCTGGGAGACCTGGAAAAGCGCTAGGTAGCGGTTTTCCATCGTCAGGTACTATATAAAAGCTTGTGTTTACGGATACTCTGTCAATAACAGTCAGATGAGAGCAGTCACCTGAGCTCACTAGTCATGGCAGGGATGCAGATTGGCAGATGAAAGATCAGATTGATCAGATCCCCGGGGGACTCGACAGTAATAATGACTCTAATCGCTAACAGTATTTTATTTCCCTCACACTTTTTGTTTCTTTCTAGGCCTTGCGTATGATGAAGATTATAACAAGGATGATGGTACTGAGTCTCAGACATTCTTTTGCGTTTGATGGCTTGCAGATGACAGAGCATTAAGTGAAGTGTCATTCTAAATTCAGGTATCCTCTAAAGATCTACCAGTTTGAGGCAGAGCAATTACTATGGTTAATAAGATGTACTGAATGTATGATGTCATAATATTCATATGTCTTGGTATTTTAGCTGTAAGCTTTGGGCACATTCTGTTATTTTTAAATATGCTATAGAAATAGGCTTTTGTAAGTACATATGCTGCTTGCACAGTATTAAAATAATGATGAAGACAAAATACATTGCTTTTTTATCACAGGAAAATGCAAGCATGCATTGCAAAAGAGAAATCTGCGTGAAGCTTATCGACAGGAATAAAGTAAAGCAGAAACCAGGGGCTCTTCTGCTTGTGTATGTGTGGCTCCTGTGCTCACAGTCAGTGTCCAGCAGCAACCAAAGCTCTCGAGGTCAAACCGGTGAGCTAAGCTAGTGCAACATCTCTCTCTCTTTCTCTCTCCCCCTTTTGTCTTTCCCCTCAGGTCCAATTAAACACACTGGACACACAGTTATATGGCTCTGCTGGGAGCACAGTCAGACCACTGCGAATAACAGCTAAAGAACCATTTGCCACCCACTTATTATAACTCATTCAATCATTCATCATGAGGTGTTTGGTAGATTGACAGTAGCCTACGTTTATTTGCATACTTAAAAAGTGAAATAGTATATATTTATATATATTCCAGCACTCCGTGTCAAATTAACCAAAGTTCAGAAACTTCCCTAGCTAAAAATAATAATTTAGGTAATTATTCATGGAGGGTTTTTTTCTGCTTTTTGTGAAGTCACTGCAGCGGAGGCTAACTGTAGTGTTGTGTATGTCCATGTGAGGGCGCCAGAATACTAGAAATAATGTTGCCTGTGCCTCTGTTTTCACAATTTTATATTTCAAGATGCGTGTACACGCAATATGACGAACATTCTGCATGAAATGTCTCTGACTGTCTTTCTGTCAATCTAAGGTCGGTCTGAAGTTAAGCCGAGTACCTGTGAAGTGGTGGCAGCTCATCATTGCTGTAATAAGAATAAAATAGAGGAGAGGTCTCAGACGGTCAAGTGCTCATGTCTTCCTGGACAGGTTGCTGGGACCACCCATGCTCAACCTTCATGTGTAGATGGTATGTCCACTGTCCACGGACACAGCTTTTTATTTTATTTTTGTGTGATGCTGCATCTACACCGAGAGGTGTCAATACAGTCCATAATCACTGTCATATTGCTCAAAACAAACAAAAAATTACTTGTATGACAGCATAAGCTGCATTTTAGTATGATTTTGTTGCTGCATTTTGTTGTTTTATTAGTTTTTTCTTTAAATATGTCTATACAGTTTTTATTATATTTTTCATTAAAATTTGAGTAATGAAAGTGTTTTTTATAGGTTTAGTTTCAGTTCTAGTTTTAGTTCATATTAATAACCCGGCTGCATTTGATGGTTTGCAAACTCCTGTTGGCTCCATTTTAGTTTCAGAAACAGGTTGGACTTCCATTTGATTTTAAACTCCAGCAAAATAAAACAGTGGCTTTCTCAAGCTGTCACTCTACTTAAATTTAGCCCAGGCTTCGAGGTGTGAATCTAATCCTGCTCTGCCAGTTTGCTGACTTTTCAATAAATAGATATTTTTGGGTATTTACTTGCTGAAGGTATCTTCTGTTTTACGTTTTCTGCAGGAAGGGATTTTTTTAGGGATGCACCAATATTAAAATTCTGGCAGATACAATAAACAAATAATTAATTAACCAATACATAGTCAGTATTACAGTTCTATAGTATAAATGAATTTAGGCATCACAACATTATAAAGTATGAAAAATGAATATTTGAGTTTTGTAAAAAGATTACCTTTAACAATGCTGTTAAATTATTACTGTTGTTAAGTAGCTATTAGATGATGAGCTTTTACAATTGGATATCAATATATCTGTAAATGTCCAAAGTTGGCCGATGGCTGATATGGTATTTTTTATTAATAAAATGTATTAATATAAATAATATTCCTCAATAATATACCCTATATAATGCCTTTTTTTGCGCATAGACCAGTTCAGTGATGATTCCTAGTATTTGGATTTAGAAAAAACTCCTCTACTCTAAATGATAATGCAGAATCATGCAGAATTCGATTCAAAGTCTTCATACATTTTCTCATGTCTTCAATAGCATTACTGTGCCTGGGGTGCACATGTATTGTGTTAAGCAGGATATGACCATTTTACAAAAGACGCTGCTGACTTTATTTGGATCTGTCCCTGAATATCCTGCTGAAAAGACGAGCATGACCAGCGTTGTCTTTCTGATGAAGCTGGTTGGCCAGCGCAAATCTTGCAGGTTAAGGGACCCATGCTGTGTCCGTGTCCAAAATCCAACATATGCTGGTCTGTCATGCGGTTTTGTCAGCATGGAGCATTAATCAGCTATGGCTAGTGTCTTTTTGTGTAGCTCTAGCATGCACGTTCTTCTTTCTGTGTGGGTTTATGTGCATCTGAGAGGTGGGCAGTGAGTCTATTTGGGTGTGATATCATGGTCATTTTTTTGTATGCCTTTGAGCAGGTGGAAACTTGAGAAAATTGAACAGAACTCAATATTTCACAATGTGTTTTCAGTCCAATTCAGTTTTTTGTGATTTTATACGGTCTTCTTATGCTGATCCCTGGAATACTAGATTCCCATTGGTCTGTTGTGGAAAACATATGCAAAATGCTGTTTTATATAAACTCTAGTCAAGTCAAGTCAAGTCAAGTCTGCTTTATTGTCAATTCTTCCACATGTACAGCACATACACACAGAGAATTGAAATTGCGTTACTCTCAGACCTTTGGTGCATACAGATAACACTAACAGTAGAACATAAATACAGATATACAGATTAAATATAAAATACAACTATACAAATATACAAATAAGGTCAAATGTAAAAAAATAAAAAAAATAAAATAATAATAATAATAATAATAATAAAAAATAAAAAAAATTTAAAAAAAAAACTAACTCTGAGCTCTGGACTATTGTCTGTGGCAAAAAGCATGCTAGTTTTATGTCTCTTGTATCATTCTGCTTTCTCTTTCTTCTCACATAAGTAAATAATTTAAACTAAATCAGTATTTTATATCCTTGTATTTATTCACTTTGTAATTAGCGATATATTAAACAGGATAACAAGGTCAGTCATTGTTGCTTTTATTTTCGATCAGTTTAATTTGTCTTTGCTGAATAAAAGAATTTAAAAAGGTACTTTAAAAATTTTACTTTTCAAAAGTTAAGGATCAGTAAGATTTAAAAAAAAAAAAAAAAAATTAATACTTTTATTCTGTTTATCAAAGTGTCCTAAAAAATTAGCATGTTTTTCCACAAAAAATGTAAGAAAATTATATATATAATTTCTTGTTGGTACTGTATGTTGTTCCTGTCTTTCACTTTGTTTTCTTTTCATTCCCTTTCAGTGTCTATCGTGCGAATGAAGTGGTGGTGTCAAATGGAGCCATGCTTAAATGGTGAAGAGTGTAAAGTGTTGCCTGACCTCAACGGCTGGTCCTGCAGTTCTGGGAACAAAATCAAAACCACCAAGGTGAGTTGTAAGGCCTGGTCTATGGAGAGAGTCCACTCTTAGAAATATAGTTAGCGGTTTGACAGAGAATGCATCAGTTTTCATCTGTTTATTCATTGCTAACTCTACCTGTCATATGGAATATCATCTAAAGTGCATCTCCGCTCTTCTTCCCCACTTAGGTCACGCGGTATGTGTGCAGTGAATTTATTTAATACACGAGTTTCACAATTTGAGTTGAATTACTGAAATAAATGAACTTTTCCATGACATTCTAATTTATTGAGATGCACCTGTATGTCAGAGCTTCCTCGCCAGATGTTTTGGGCTGAATGTCCCAGCAGTGATGCTTGTTTGGATTGTAAATTCATCAGTTTTCTTCTATTTATTCACTGCTAACTGTGCCTGTCATATGGAATAGCAGCTAAAGTACATCTTGGCTCTTCTTCCCTGCTTAGGTCACACGGTAAAGCAACACTTCTGTGGACATGTGATGACAACTCATAATGTCACGTGAGCATATTTTAAAATCAGACCTGCAAATGTCAACAAAAATGCATGCTCGAGCAGAAACATGTGAACCGTGAACTAAGACTGTGGAGAAGTGTTTAAATGATGCAAGGCACTGGCTTCACAAACCCTAAATATTTCTAGTTATTTTGAACTTTATTCGTCAAGAATCCTGAAAAGTATCACTATTTCCACAAAAATATTAAGCAGCAACTATTTTTAAAATTGAAAATAATAATAAATATTTCTTGAGCAGCAAATCAGCATATTAGAATGATTTCTAAAGGATTATGTGACATTGAAGACTGGAGTAATGATGCTCAAAATTTAGCTTTGCCATCACAGGAATAAATTAGATTTTAAAATATATTCAGATAGAAAATGGTTATTATAAATTGTAATAATATTTCACAATAATACTGTTTTTACAGTTTTATTTTTGTTTATATAGTTTTATTTTTGGGTGAGCATAAACAGTAGTATAGTATATTTTCCAAAATATCATCATCTGTGCTTCACAGAAGAAGAAAAAGTCATACAGGTGTTGAAGGATACAAGAGTGAGAAATTGTTGATTTTATATGCCTTTAAATATTTTTGGAAATCACAGGTATGTTTTTTTTTTCTCTCCATCTTGATGAAACCATGTTGCACTATAACACGAAAATCCGTTGTTCCCCAAATTGTAACCAAGCTAACTCTGATGTTGTTTTTGTGCCAGCAAAACTACTTCTGGGTGTCTGATTTAGACAAATATTAAGATAAAGCCCCTACCAACACACACTCACACTCACACACACACACACACACACACACACACACACACACTGCCTGTCTCTTCATTTTCATCTGATGTGACACACCACCTGCAAGTGGAGGCAAGTAAACATGGAATTTTGGAGCAAAACAAGTCCTGTTTGATATGGAAATAGAACAGAGGAGTGTGAGAGTGTGTGTGTGTTTATCTGGATGTGTGAGAAAGACAGATGGAGAATCAGACTATGCTGGAGCCCATGTGCTCCTGAGTTGTAGGTCATTATCATATTAGAGTTTATTAAAATTTGGATTCCTTTTTTTTTCCCGTGTTTCAGTCAGCTTCAAATTACGACTGTAAAAACAGCGAAATTATGTATTAGTTTGGTTACACAAACACATGTTGGGGATCACTGCAGGTTCCGGTCTGTTATTAATTCACACCAGGGTCACCGCTGACTGTTTTGAATGATTTATCACGAAGTTCATTAAGACGCATGACAATTCACTGAATTAATTTGGTGGTTCCAAATGTAAAACTCTGGGATTTTTTTAAGTGTTAATGAATAAACATTCATTATTGAGGTGCCTCTCTGTATCATTATTTAACCATGGAGAATGTGGGATTTTAACCTTTTCGCTCTGCAGTGCCCATAACATTATACCTGACAGTTTAAGTGGCAAGAGGGAAGATGAATTTGAATGCATTTAAAAATAAACACATTTCAATTTTAATGACACAGAACTCTCCTGGAGAGAGTAATTGTTCTGTGTGGAGATTCAGAAAAGGGTATTACTTATGCATGCTGTGCCTGGCATCCGTCCCTTGGGGATGGCCAGCGTGTTCCTGTAGTGTTTTAGAAGAACCGAGGACAGTGGATGTAAGTATACGTGCTTGAATTTAAATGATGTTGACGTCCATAATGAACTTAATGACGGGGTGCTTGAGTTTTACATTCACAGTACTCTTCTGTTTGCATTGCACTGTTAATAATAAGAGTGCAGCTGAATAACTCGATGTGCCATTGTTCACATGCTTTAAAATAAGGAAATGAGGAACTCATGCCAATGCGCTATGCCAGCATCTCATTACATCCAGCATTGAGCGGAGGAAGACAGAGAAAATTGTTTGGCTCTGTGAGAAATAAAAAAAAATCTAATTATTAACTATTTTAGACCGGCAATCTACCATTGCCAGGCTCAGGTGGATCCCTCTTTTTGGAGGAGAAAATTAACAGGAATGGATGTGGAGGCAAAACATATCCAAAATGTGTGTTCATTGGTCAGATAATAACCCAAATCTTTACTTACATCATACTCACAGTGGGACAGAGGAAAGGAAGGAGAGGAACACATCACATGACATCTGTGTGTTATTTTAAAAAGATAGTTCACCTATAAATTAAGATTCTGTCACTGTTTATTCATCCTCATGTGCTTCCAAACTTGTGTGACTTTCTTTCTATCATCAAACACAAAAGGAGATCCAAGCTGCTCTTTTCCATACAATCAAAGTGCATTCACTTTCACTGAATGGCTAAGAGTTGGTTAGTACATCTATTTATATATATACACACACACACACACACACACACTATTGTGCAGAAGTCTTAGAACATTAGTATTTTCACACAAAAAAAAGGTTATTAATTATTTCTATCTTTTGCTGTAGTGTGTCAGTGGGAAATATCAGTTTACATTTAGAAACATTCCTTTTGCCATACGTTGTAATAATCCAGTGAGATTTCTGTATGCACAACCAGTCTGACAACAGCCAGTGCTCCACACAGAGATCTGAGCTCACCATCATCCAGTCCATTTTAGATTACATGAAGAAACAGAAAAAACTGAGACAAATAAATCCAGAAGAACTGTGGCAACATCTCCAAGACACTTGAAGAAACCTTCCTACAAAGTTTCCTGAAAAACTATACGCAAGTTTACGTAGGACAAAAGCTGTTTTAAAAGCAAAGGGTGGTCACACCAAATGTTGATTTGATTTAGTTAATAGAAGTGAATTGATAAATAAAATCTATTTATGACATTATTTTTGAAAGCATCCTCACTTTACAGCATTTTTACACAAGTGGTTAAAACTTTTCACAGTACTGTGGCTTTGTAGGTAGGTTTCTAGAAAAGCATCTTGGAGACGTTACCACAGTTCTTCTAGATTTAGTCTGTCTGTACAGCAAAAGATAAAAATAACTGGCGTAAACCATTTTTATTTATTTTTTGGTGAAAATACTAATGGCCTAAGATTTTTGCATAGTAGTTTATATATATATACATATACATATACATAGATATGCTAAATTTCTCCAAATCTTTTCAGATGAAAAAAATAAACTTATCTGCACAACTTTTCAAAAATTCTCATTTTTGGGTGAACTATTCCTTTAAGTGCAAACTGAATGTAATTTTCTCACACTTAATTGCAAGTTATTTACAATTAAATGAGAATACATTATAGTATAGATTTAGAGATTTTGAGATCTTCTAAGTTGAGAATTGTGCAGTCAGTGGAAATGATGTGCCCATCTGTTTTGGGATTTGTCTTTGTGTGTGATTTAGAAAGATGTATCTGAGTTTCCATACAGGGATTGAATCCTGAAGTCCAGAAATGCATACTATTTATTATGTTTTTACATGCACATTAATCATAAAACTCGCTCTTATTGATGTGTAGAGCAGCACAGACAAAACTGATTGGTGGATCATTTTTATTAAACTCTCTTGTTTTGTCTAATTGCTGGGACAGCTTTGCATCTGCTGGGATGTTCATATTGTGAGGGAATGTGCTTATGAATGTGGCTTGGCGAATGCTTATTATTTTAACATGGTAAATTTATTTACAGACCTATAGACATTTTCATTTGTGATGATTTTTATTGACAAAACATGTTTACAACTGCATAGTTGGTTACTTAAACCAATAATTACAACACTAAACTGAGCCCCATGTCACAAGAAATGATAAAAAATAACAAATAAATAAATAAAAATCTTACCTTTAATAAAAAAGGCTTGGGGTGTTCTAACCTCATTAAACATGTTTGTTTATTAATTTAATTTACTATTACCTTAAAATTGTGCACACTTTAACTAGTCTTGTGTTTCATGAAGAACTACTCAGACTCTATAATGAGCTGTCTAGAATGCTTTTGGGTGATTTACTTTTTTTGGCTGCTCCTCCTGTTCAAGTGTTTCGGTGTGTGTTTGCAGTTGAGAGATACTTGTCTTGTTTGTGTAACTGTGTGTGAGAGGTGGCTGTAAATTAAGTGATGCAAGAAAGTGAAAATAAAAGGTGAGAGCGAGTCTTGAGTTCACATAGTCTGTGCTGTTCTGATCTTCAGGTTCCATGATTTAAAAAAGAATAATGATGGCTGGCATTTTAAAAACCAACTCAAACAACTGTGAGATTTAAACAGGTTGGTTTAGCTTTTGTGCATGCCTTTGTCCTTAAACATGTTTCAGGTTTGGAAATCTCTGCTTTTCTTTTAATTATTTAGTGTTACCCATAATTTGTGAGTTATTTACAATTAAATGAGAATACATTATAGTATAGATTTAGAGATTTTGAGATCTTCTAAGTTGAGAATTGTGCAGTCAGTGGAAATGATGTGCCCATCTGTTTTGGGATTTGTCTTTGTGTGTGATTTAGAAAGATGTATCTGAGTTTCCATACAGGGATTGAATCCTGAAGTCCAGAAATGCATACTATTTATTATGTTTTTACATGCACATTAATCATAAAACTCGCTCTTATTGATGTGTAGAGCAGCACAGACAAAACTGATTGGTGGATCATTTTTATTAAACTCTCTTGTTTTGTCTAATTGCTGGGACAGCTTTGCATCTGCTGGGATGTTCATATTGTGAGGGAATGTGCTTATGAATGTGGCTTGGCGAATGCTTATTATTTTAACATGGTAAATTTATTTACAGACCTATAGACATTTTCATTTGTGATGATTTTTATTGACAAAACATGTTTACAACTGCATAGTTGGTTACTTAAACCAATAATTACAACACTAAACTGAGCCCCATGTCACAAGAAATGATAAAAAATAACAAATAAATAAATAAAAATCTTACCTTTAATAAAAAAGGCTTGGGGTGTTCTAACCTCATTAAACATGTTTGTTTATTAATTTAATTTACTATTACCTTCAAATTGTGCACACTTTAACTAGTCTTGTGTTTCATGAAGAACTACTCAGACTCTATAATGAGCTGTCTAGAATGCTTTTGGGTGATTTACTTTTTTTGGCTGCTCCTCCTGTTCAAGTGTTTCGGTGTGTGTTTGCAGTTGAGAGATACTTGTCTTGTTTGTG